TATCTGTCTGAATATCAAACATCTTAGGCATAACATGGAACAGGTATTTTCCATCAAGTATTGATATGTTAAACTTTAAGTCCCTACAGAATATGAAGAAAAGAATTTTAAAAATAAAAAAACTAGGAATAATAAATAGGAATAAAATATTGTTTCTTCCTAAATAATAGGAATAAACAGTTACATATGTTACACAGAAATTTACAAACCTACCCATATACAGCATTGTAACAGGACAGTCCTGTAACATATTTTTCTTGTCTGTTTTTATTTATTACCCCTTTTTTAAAAACAAACATTTACTTCAGAGACAATATGGCAATAAGTGGTATGTCATGACAAACAGTACGTATTTAGAAGACCCGAGTGACAGGCATTCTAAGCATGACCCTATCATTACACATTGCTATCTTCAGTGTAGTTGCTTAGTTCACAGGTATCCGCATATATAGTTAATCAGGGTGAAAATCCTAACAATTGACTACTAGTTTCAAAAGCATGCTGAAGATTCTAAGGATCACTGCCTTATCTGGACATATTTAATGATACCAATTGATCAACTATATGGAAGGCATGGATAATATCGAAAACCCCCTAATTTTGGTACCTAGGATCAAGCTCAGGACTTTGTGCTTGCCAAGCAGGTGCTTAAGTCACTAAGCTATCTACCCAGTCTCTTCGAAACCATTTTTAACAATCATTTTTGAAAGGGAAACAAGTTAAGGTTATCAAAATATACTAAATGGAAAATAAAAGCGTCAAGCATCTGACAGTACTTTGCTCCATATCATGAAAGAAAGATTTCTAGTTAAAAAGCCAACTGATCTATGCACACTTTTTGTTATTATCATCCATTAAGCCAGAACTGTATTTTGTGCCTGAAACCTTTTTATGATTGCACAATTTCATTTTAATGAGTGACATGAGATTTTACCAACCAAACAGTCTGAAGATTAAAAAAAAAGTTGTTAAGTACATCCTTTCTTCTACTCTTCTACCTATAATTAATTTTACCTCAGGAGTGGTAAGGCAAACCAAACAAAAATAGTAACAACAAAACTACAGCAGCCTGGTATTAGCAAAAAGGACTGCATCTTTTCTGCCAAGGAGATAAGGCTAAAATGTGTGTCGTTAAAAATCTGGTAATGGATGACTACAGAGAGAACTGGGCTAGGAAAAGGAGACTTCTCCCCATACCCCTTTTTGTACCATGAAGATATTACTATTTTTAAATAAAAAACAAAACAACAATAACAACAGATAAACAGGCTGTTTCTGTTAAAAAGAGAACTGGGCCAAAAGAGGTTAACAGTGCAGCTTAAAGACAGTACAGCAAGTACATGAGAACAGTCACCCCTTTTGGATGGCTACATATAATTAACTGGCCTACATGGACCAGAACTCATGATTCCTGCCTGCTCTGCACCAGGCACAAACAAATTAAGTCCTCAAATACTGGCAGAGTTACTTTCTTCAAAGGGAAACAAATGCATGTTGAAATCTCTTACCCTAGTTTAAGGATTTTTTTTTTTGCTCCAAATGCCTTCAGGGCAGGTTTGGCTGGCTTGAGTTGTGGGGATCGAACCACAGCAACCTGAACCTGACTGCTTTGTTGAAGCAGCCACTTAAAGAACTGAGCTAAGGGGCGGCCTGCCAAAATCTCTTACCTTGGATCTGCTTTGGATTCTATCTTCTCAAGGGCTGCTTGCTGTTTATCCAGTTTCTCACTATGACTCTTCAGCTACAATAAAGAACAGAGGAGGCTCAGCAATAGAGAAGAAGGTGCATTTGCTTTCTTCCAGCTCACATTCAAACCCATCTCTCAGTAGCTGGTCAAGCTCATTGGATTTGGCTGTACACTGAGAAAAGAGATGAATCAGAGAAATAGAACGGGGGTGGAAGGCAAAAATCAGACTTTCATGCACACCTTTTGTCGATTAAAGAAGGCTTAGTGATGGCTTCAAACCACAGCAGCAAATGCATGGACTGAGAAGGACTGCTGTATAGAGTAGCAGACAGAGGAAGACTGGCTTTCAGAGTTGGAGATTTATGTTAGCAATAGTCAGATGGGAGAAGCCATGAAGACTGATTCTCTTAAACACAAGGGCAGGTGCCTGAGTCTTGAAGGCAGGGCAGAGCCCCAGATGGTCAGGCAGAATCAAGATAAATGGCCTGATCTTGCATATCACCCAATCCAACAGAAGCTATAGCCCAGGATATCAGGTTAGTAGAATCAGTATAACTGATGCTAAATGCAATAATATCAGTATGAAGCTATAAAGGATGTTAACCTTAGGGCCAGTGAGATAGCTCAGTGGACTAAGTGCCTTCTCTGACATGTGCAGGGACCAAGGTTCAATCCCTGGTCCCGAATGCCGAGCTAGCCCTGCCCCTGGGGCACACTGAGCCAGGGACCGAGTCTGGGCATGGTGACGCACACCTGTAATCCCAGCACTAGGTAGTGCTGAAAACAGAAGGATCACTATGAGTCGGAGCTGCATAGTGAGACCCTGTATCAAATACATAAATGGAGAAAAAAAAAAAAGTTCACCCTGCACAAAGTAGGTTGGGTTGAATACATACAGCATCTAGAGATGGCAGCAGAAAACATAAACATCAAAGATAAGCCCATAATCAAGATTCCTGAATATGTGAAGAAAGAAATCCATTAAAAAGATTTATCAGCTCAACATGAGAATTTTGTCCCAAAGAAATAGGCAGTAAGAAAAAAATGTCAGATACAATAAACACCTCAAGAGACATGAGAGAATACTATGCATACTAAAAAGCATCAGTTTTACTCATAGGAAACTGAAGTACTGGTGAGGTCAACAAGGAGATAAGCTAGACATGACAGCCTGTACTACCAACATGGGCTAGCATGGAGCCAGCGATACAGCCTCCCACATGTGCGCCACATGCTACTAGCATTTACCTACTGTCTTCAATGCTTTACGTTTTATAAATGTATTAACAATATAACTCTTTTCTGTACTCAGCACTATTTATTAGGTTATCATGAAGGGGAGTTTGGGTGAGGAGGTAAAATCTGGGAATCCTGGCATAGAATAACTCATTTGCCCAACTGCCTTGAACAGTAAGAGAAACCCAAGTCCAGAGGGGATGGTCTTATTTATTCACAGGCTGGCCAACCTTTTTCCTAAGGTGCTTAACAGTAGGTTCTGCATAGCTTCCCATTTTTGTACATGGAAATTACTTTATCCTATCAGATTATAACCTCTCTGGTAGGCTATTGATTCCAGATAACCTGCATTGAAATTCTGCCAATCTGTGGTAAGGGAGTTAGCCTTAGTTTCCCTATTGACAGAACAACAATGAGAACTGTACATTGCCAGGGTCATCATAAAGGTTTTACAGAAGAAAGAATACAAACACTGGGTCACAACACACCCAGCACATGGTGATGTTGCTGTTAATGATTGCTTTTTAATGATTTAATGTTGCTTTTTAATGATTTAAATAATTTCCTCCATAGTTCTAAGACATGAAAAAAGTTCAACAAATCCTTGATTTAGTATTTAGTACAAAAAAGGCATTTTACCTTAGGTATTATATCCTAAGGCACGGAAAATGTCCTAAAAATTGGTATCAAGATGTTTTGCCTTTAATCCCTTCCAGATTATTACACAAAGACTGACCCATGACTTGGCAAATCCCATGCCAGGGAGTCTAGCATTAAAAATAATACAGCAGTAGGGATTCTACCCCCAGAAAGGATATCTAATCCATAAGGAATGTAATCACAGAGCAGTGTGGAAGAAGCCAACCTGCTAAAGGCAACATGGGCACTTTTGGAGAACATGAAAAAATCCTTATTTAACAGCTATTCTCATGGCCTATCCTTTTTCTTTTTGAAACAGGGATTTGCTATATAGTTTGGGATGGACTTGAACTCACTCTTGTAGCCCAGCTAGCCTCAAACTTGTGCTATTCTTCCCACTTCAGGCTAAGTTCTGGGATTAAAGGTGTGCACTACCACACTCAGCTGAGTCCTACCCTTTTTCAATATTAGCACAATTATTGAAGAGACCAGTGCAGGTCAGAACTGAAAAGTTTTTTGGGGGTTATAGCAAGGTGGTAGATAATTACTGTGTATTGTTACAGAAGTTAAGAATTTTAATAAGCAAATTTCACGTGAAACTTTATAAAAGCAGGGACTGGGTAGGTACATGATCCTAGTTTCCAAGTCATCTAACAGTATGACGTAGATAGAGACCTTGCAGGAAGGCCCTTCCAGGGTATAGTCATAGCTCAAGTCCTCAAACCACCACATTTTTCAGATCCAGAGGAAGACCGTTTTCTGTGGAAATTCAAAGGTCAGCAATATCTAAATGTTCCTCCCAAAAGAGATGGAATCAGAGGCATCTGTTTCTTGCCTGGTTTCGTAGGCAATCAGAAGTGGGAGGTGAGCCACACTGTGAAGATGATGGGAAACAGCGCAAATTCAACTGCAGGGTTCAAATGCACCCACTAGCCCTCTCCTGCCCGTGATCACCTCTCCTATTCCACCTACGAGATAGCTGGTAATCCTGAGAATTCCATCACTCTGAGACTGTTTCATCTTTCACAAGAAATCCTCATGTGCGCAAGGAATTCAGTACAAGAAGCTGTTAGATGACCTGCTGCTTGAGAAGCAGGAGAGAGACCCGTTGGGCCAGTATTCTCCAAGAAGCCTATCCTGACCTTACAAGTCCACAGTGACTTCGCCCACCAAGACAACTGAATGTTGAAACTGTACTTTCGATTTGATTTGAAAGTGTCTCGTTGCTATATGTTTATCAATAAAACTTTGAAAAGAAAAAAAAAAAAGACAACTGAAGATTTAGAACATGACAACAAGGATAAATTACTGGCAGGAGTCATGTCACTATGAAACTGTTCTATGTCCTGAAATAGATGAAGACTCTGAGGACTCTGGGTCTCCTCCACAAAGCATGATAACGTTCAGTATTCTATTAGCAGTGCTGGTTAGAAACAATAGGAGGATATGCTCACCTCTGTTAGCATTTTCTTTCGTTCGTTATATCTGGCTTGGAGGTTGGTATGATTTGCTTGCAGCTGTGAATGAAAGATAAAGACATCTGCTCTTATTTGACTCTTAGGACAATTCAGGTGTAGACAGTATCCCCATTTCACAGATAAAAAAATGGAAGCTCAAAAAGATTTAAAGTAAGTCAATATGATAAATGTAGGCTGGCCAAATAGCTCAGCAGATTAAAGCACCTGCAAGCAGGCGCAGGGGCTACGGGTTCAATCCCAGGCCTGCCGTGCTGTCCCTGACCCTGGGATGCGCTGCTGAGACAGCAATCAAGATTGGGTGTGGTGGCAAGTTCCTGTAATCCCAGCTCTTGGGAGGCTGTAAACAGGGGGATCACTATGAGTCCAATCTAGGAATGAGACCCTAAACACCCTGTAGACCCTTCCTAAAATACAAAAAAAAAAAAAAAAAAAAGGTAAATTATTTAGAAGGGTGGTCAATAACACATTAAAACATAACTCACCTCATTTAATCAGCACCAATTATGTGCTAGGCCATTTACAAGGTATTCTATACAAATCCTATCACTGAATATTTAATTCAGTAAGACACTGATCTTGTTTTAACAGCAAAAAAACAAAGACAGAAAGAAGGGTTAAGTTACTGAACTAAATTCTCACAGCTGATAACTGATAAAAGCAGGATTCAAGTTTAGGTCTGACTTTTCTATGGCTGTAATCAATTCCATTAACCAACTTGCCTGTTCACTGACTACAAACTGCACTTCAACATTCAAGAGTCTAGCACAGAGTGACTTGTTGGCAAATGCTGCCAAATGTAAGAAAGGTTTTAAAAACAAAAACATTTCAGAATTTCAACACTTAAAATGAACTCCCTTTGTTGTTCAAAGTACCTAACTGTACGTTTCTAACTCTAAAAAAAACAACTCTCTCTTCCTGTTTCCTCATCCAACTGGTCAAGCTATGTGGTCAGGAGTTAGATACTGGTTCTCATTTCCCTCCTCTCCTCTCCTCTCCTTTGTTTTGGTTTGTTTTAATCTTTTTTCTTCCTCCCTCCATTTCTCTCCCCTACCTCTTTTTTTAGGACTGAACTATATCCCAAGCCCATTTTTCAATTTTGAGACAAGGTCTCACTGTTTGCTCATCTTCAAAACACCTATGATGGGGATACTAATCATGGTCCTTTACAGAGAAACTGCTATTTGAAAGGCAGTACTGCTAAAAAATATCAGGCTCTTAGTAACAAGGTTCAGAACCCACTGCAAAGCTGACCCAAAAGTCGGAGACAATGGCCCTCTCTGATGGACTGAAACTGTGCCAGAACTGCCATTTAGAATGAAGCTCAGCATTGTTTCTCAAATTTAGGCAGGGGGCAGAAGTAAACTTCCACATGTGTTCAGATTCTCTGGCCCTTGGACTCTGCATACTTCAAACTATCCTCCTTCAGGGGATAAAGACACTGTGATGGGGGCCAGGAAGATAGCTCAGTAGAATAAGCGCTTGCCTGGCAAGCGCAAGGGCCTGAGTTCAATCCCCAGTTCCTCAAAAAAAAAAAGAAAAGACACTGTGATGAAAAGCCTCACACTTTATCCCTGCTCATTTTGATTCCATGATGAGTGCCTTTTGAATCAACCACTCTCATGTTCTTATCACTGGCTATGATCAGGAAGATGATATCCTTGAGCTAAGAATTCATTATGATTCTTAAATAAATGATTGAACAAAAAAAAATCATAGTCAATCTATGCATCTTTCTTTGCTTATGATGCAGAACCTTTGGGTGAACTAAACTTACTATTTAGTTAGTTGTGGTAAAACAAACTCGTAATAAAACAAATTCAAACAAAGGATTGGGCAATACCATTTAATATGTTAATATCTCTTGAATATGTGAGATTTATAAGAATGAAAAATTCACAAGCTCAAAATGTCAACTGGCACCCATTTTTGCAAAATCAACTGTTATAGCCACTTCCTATGAACTTTCCTACAAAAAGTCATATTAATTCTTATAATCTTCTGCTTTATGTAATTGTCTAATTAAATACTATTGTCCATGCAAATGAAGCATACAATGATTTTTTTATTGTGCAATAACTGTTTCTGAGTCAAACTATCCAGCTTCCTCTACTTTTGAGAGCAAACCTAAGAAAATCTTTCAAAACAATCTCATCCATTACAAAGTATTACAGAATGCTACCTCTAACAGCTCTCTTAAAAATAATCTAGTTTCTTCCACCTCTCCTGACATCGACTGCCCACATGGACTGCTGCATCAGTCTCCTTACAGTTGGTTCTGTCTGAAACCCTTTTCATCCACTCCAATTAATTCGTGCTCAGACAGCAAACAGAATGATCACTGCAGCATGCACATTGGATTACATCATTCAGATATTTTAACACTCAAAGGTTTGATCAGACTGTATGAACTGATCACCTCACTTATGTGACCTCCAACCATATAACAAACTGGTCAAGACTCTCCCTCTCCATGAACTTTATTCATGTTACTTCACAGGTCCCCAACCCAGACATCCACACTTCCTATACAGACTTCCTGCCCAGTCAAGATCCACTCACCTTTCTAGACTCTGTCCTCTAAACATGAAGTGAAGTTTGGTCTCCCTATCAGACACTCTTAGGGCCCTAGACTTCTCTGTCAAACACTCATTACAGCTATAAATAAATGTGAGGCACAAGTGATATTTCGTTAAGTGTATGTCTTCCCATAAGACTTTTAGATCTTTGGAAGCACCTATTACAATGTGTTCTTCATTTATCCCTGAAGCCTGGCTTAGTGCTTAGCATAAAACAGCACAAAATAGTATTTGCGACTAAATGTTATTCTTCCCATGACAAACTTTTCCTATACATTACCAGAAAGTATGTATTTTAGGCTTTGCAGGTCACGTGGCCTCTGCTGCAACTACTCAACTCTGAAAGCAGCCATAGAAAATATGTAAGGAAACTGGTGTTCATATGTTGAAATAAACTATTTGAAAAACCAGGCTTAGCTGGGTTGGTATGAGGTTTACATATGCCAACTCCTATTCTAAAATCTCCTCTGATCAATCTACCAGGAAGATCTTCACATTTTTCTTCAATTTCTCCCTTTCCTGAAGAATGAGTTCACTGACTTGACTGAAATTATACAAAGAAAACATTAACCTCTTCCAGATGTTTAGTCTTCTGTAGAATCTGCTTGTTCAAGGAAATAATTTTCCGACGATGTAGCTGGGAGGTTCCTAATTTTTCTGGACTTTCTTCAGCTGACAGCTCAGACTGCTGTGGGAAGAGGGTAGAGGAATGCCAAAGCATTTAATTAGTTCATCTCAGTTCAGAGAACCCATCCCTCCTCAGTCTGGGCAAATCATTACTAGGCCACCAAGCCACCAAGCCACAGGGCAACTACAGTGTTCTGTAGAGAAACTCCAGGGAATGGGCAGAAACCAGGGCCACTAAACTGTGGTTTTGTTGATGACACACAGAAAACGGGATATTCCAAGGGCATTAAATACAGCAGGAGAATAACAGGAGTAATATCTTCACAGGACCATTTTTCAGTCATCAAAGAATGATGATTTTGATCAAAGCATTATAAACATATAGGCAAAAAGTCTACATTTTAGAAGTATTAACAATGAAGAAGTAAGTCTCCCAAATCATTTTCCTCCATCCACAGGCTCAATCTCTAAATATCTCCTTACTTGCAGTCTTCTAGTAAGAACAGAGGGTGGACTGAGGAGGATAAAAGTTGTTGCAAGGCCAAGAAGGACACTTCTCAAAACATGTAAGTGACAAAGGGACAAAGAAGAAGAACTAAACAAGACCTAGAGATTGTCAGACATGTAAAGGAGATCTCTGGATTCAGTGATGAGGCGAATACGGTAACATTTTATAGAACAAGAATCGCTATTATGGGCCAGCCAAATAGCTCAGCAGATTAAAGCACCTGCAAGCAGGCACAGGGGCCAGGAGTTTGATCCCTGGGCCTGCCATGCCAGCCTCGCCCCCAGGGCGCACTAAACCAGCAATTGAGACTGGGCATGGTGGCGCATGCCTGTAATCTCAGCTCTTGGGAGGCTGTAAAAAACAGGCAGATCACTACGAGTCCGATCTAGTAGTGAGGCCGTGAACACCCTGTAGACCCTTCCCTAAACTACAAATAAAAAAAAAAAAAAAAAAAGGAGAGGTAGAAAAACCATCTTCTCCATATTTCCAAATTCCTTGCCAGAAAAAGAATTATAATTAATTGCTTCTTCTCCATTTGACTAGACTGCTCTTGTATATGGCAAGTGTTTAACACTTCTTATTTTATTAAATAATTTCAGTGCTGGGCTTTAACATCCAACTCAGATTCCCTGATGCTGACTTCTAAAGTGTCAATGGCATATTCCAAGGGCATTTTACATTATAAGCAGAGTTGAATAAGCCTTCTATTTTGTTTGAAATAATTCATACCCCATTTACTGGTATGTTTCTATGTTTGATGTAAAAGTTATTCTTAAGGGTCCTGACCTCCTCTAGCTGCGTATATGGCTTCCAGACTGAGATGAGGGTAGGCAGACTCCAATGAATCCAGGTATCACTCACCTCCAGGCTGCAGAGGCTGATTATCTACCCCTCTACTCCATCCTGTGGTTCTGGTGAAGACTGGGTAATATCTCTGTTTATTAACTGGTTTTCCTGCTTATCAACTGCTTTTAATTCTCAGTACCAAGAAAATAAAAATTGCATTTTCCACTCAGTTTCTATTGCCTTTTATTAGTAAAGGTGGCATGCATATAGCTTTAAAGATGTTTTAAACTATGACATCCAAACTTCATAATAAGAACCTTTCCTGCAGGCAAACCTACAGGTTGCTATCTTAATATCTGAAAATAAAGATTTCTAGGGGCTCTGTAAGAGCAAACTTCTTACCATAATAATACTAAAATGTTACTTGTTTTATTCTAATTTTGTCATGATTGTACAGTGAAATTTTCTAAATATTATGCAGTAATGTATTATCACTGTTCTGACGCTAAAATATAACACATTTATTATTATTTGCAAACTAATTAATATATAAGCTATCTGGTTTAGTAATTTTTAGGAGAACTTAAAATGTCCTGAAGAGGTGGGTTGTTATTTCCTAATAGTAAAGGAGGAACGACAGCTCTGATTCCATATTTTTACTGGACAGATTACTCACAAAACAATACAAACAGAGAAAAACACTTGCAGTGCAGAGGAAAATCCTGAAGTCTCTATGTGAACTGTCTCCACTATGACAGTACATATTTCGTGAATACAAGGGCTTTCAAAATATTTTATCTCAGTGCTAAGTAACAATTCTCATTCTCTATAGAGACTCTTAAAAACTTACATTTACCAAAGTGTTAATGTATGTTAATACCAGAATATTAAATACTATTTCTATATTTGACTTTCCTCTAGTCCAGATGACCAATATGCACATATATTGGCCCATCATACATAGGAGTTTCCAAGTTCCTCCACTTGCCTTTCAGTCTTTGCATATTTAGAAGTTTTTGGACAGCTAAGACAATTTACTCCAGAGCAGCAATGAATAAAATTTTCAGCAGAGAGAGCAGAAAGTAACTGTTCTAAATTTTTGGTTTCTTTCACATACACTCCATAAAACCAAGAGAATTCAGACTGAAAACAAAAACTGGTCCTCACATTAGTAGAGCTCATGTAACAGTGTACTCATTGAGTATTAAAATGGAAAAGAAGGCTGAAGATGATCAAATTGAATCTTGAACAATGGTATGAATTAGACAGACAGAAGAAAAAAGGGTGCTTTATACTAAATCCTTGAAAGAAAAAAATTAAATCCTGGAGCATCTTAAGTGATTTCATCTTGAAAAATATAACATCTGTCAAAGAATGCCAACCATCTACAAATAAACCCTTTGTGTTTACACCCCAGTGGGCCAATCTAATTTTGTTCCACAATTCAGACTCAGAATGTGATTTCAAAACCACTGTGTGGATTAAGACAACTTCTGGAACAGATTCATTTTTTGATACTTGCCAGATATTTGAAGCTTCTATTCTTACAGGAAACAGATTTAAATGTCACTCAATATTATTAGTCCAGGCTAAGATGGTAAATACTAAAGAGAAACAAACAAAAATGATTATCCAAAACTATATACCTTCATAACTGAAAAGGACCCTAAAGGTTATCTACATATCAACCTTCTGCTGTTTTGAGGCAGTACTGCAACTGAACCAAAGGCCTTTGCATGCTACACAAGTGTTCCATGTAAATTACATATCCCCAGCTGATATGGAGATCTCTCTTCTTTTTTTTTTTGGAACCGGAGATTGAGCTCAGGCCCTTGCGCTTGCCAAGGAAGCGCTTATTCCACTGAGCCATCTCTCCGGCCCCTGAGATCTCTCTTATATCATCCTCTACGACCAAAATATGGTCTCAAAGTTGTCAAAAGAAGCCTTTTGTCACAAGGTAGCAAAAATACTCTATAATGATCAGAGGGCCTTCAATTATTGGCACCTTGACCCAAATATCAACTGAAAACAGAGTATGCAAAATATTAATTTTTAAATATTTTTGAAAAAATCTCTAAACCTTCAAAATAAAAGAAAATTATAATTTAAAAAAATCTCTTAAGCTAGGGACTGGGGAGATAGCTCAGAGGCATAAGCACCTACCTGGCAAGTACAAAGACAAGTTTGATCCCTGGCCCTGTAAGCTGTGGCCCTGGACCCCCTGGTGCCCACCATAAGGCCCCAAAACCGGGCATGGTGGTGCATGCTTGCATTCCTAGCACTGAGGAGGTTGAGCCAGGAGGATCTCTGCACGTTCAACACCAGCCTGGGGGCTACAAAAGCGAGCACAAGGCCAGCCCGAACTTCATAAGGAGACCATAAAAAAAGAAAGAAAGAAAGAAAGAAAGAAAGAAAGAAAGAAAGAAAGAAAGAAAGAGAAAAGAAGAAAAGAAAAGAAAAGAAAAGAAAAGAAAAGACCTCTAAGCCAGTAAGAATATCAAGAAATTCAGGGAGACCAATAAAGAAACAAAAGTGAGAATTTAGGATGGCAAGTGTACTCAGTAAAGTTGGCCTTTTTCCCCCCTCAGGATACTTGTTAGAACTCAGCAATCCTTCAAGTTTTGACTTGTACAATTCACTAACAACTGGCCCAAGTATAACTTAAGAATGGTGAAAGAGAAGGGAAAAAAAAACTATACTCAGGTCTATGATACCAGATTGGCCTTCACACAGTTTTGCAATTTAAATCCATACATTACTTGATGGCCCATTAGAAAAATCAGAACTATGCTTAAAATGGATCTTGGGTGAAGTGGGAGATAGAAAAACAGATGCTCCCTGAAGAACAGAGCTTCAACCCTAGGACTTAAAGAATTCCTACAGATAAATTTCCAAGAAAGATGTTAAGTTTTGCAATCAAAACTCAAAAGCATCTTAAGTCAAAACATCATAAGCAAAGGGCAACAAAAATAGACGAAGGAATCAGATCTGCAGAGACTTAAATATACACACAACTCCATGTTTTTCTGAAACAACAGATAAAACATAATAACCCTTTCATATAACAATTCAATCTATCTAGAGTATTCACAATTTTTCCATCCATCCTTTCTATAACAAAATGCAGGTAGTTCTCACCAGCTTGGTTGCTGTCCTCAACATATACTACTTTAAAACCACTTTTAAGGAACTTCTGATGGTGCCAGACCACTGCAGACAGGATGGGACCATGCAATTCTCTGATCTACACTGTTCCTATTAATGAAACTGAAAACATAAATACTCTTTTCAGTACTCTTGAGTCTTACTAATGAAATTCTGTGAATTTCAAAACCTCACATTTATACAACCTTGCTGAGTCTGAAGCTTTGCTCAGGGTCCCCTGGCTAGCAGTACAGAAGTACTCAAAACATACTTAAAATTTAGGAGGCATGAACAAAACCCAACATCTCCCACTTTTGTCCCCATCACTTACTGTATGCTCAGGGCATGCTCAGCAAGTCACAAATTGCTATGACTTTTTTTTTTTTTTCTGAAATTAAAACTCACAATTATCTTCTCAAATAATGTACTAAGTGAGACCTCAAATTTGACAAGGCTATACCTTGTCTTTATTGTAAACTGACAAAGACCCTAAAATATATAAGCTGTGCTGTGGGGTTTCAAGCAATCCCACTAGAGTTATAACTCATTAGCTAACATTCTCTTTGCTGGTAGTTGTTCTGTTAGTTACTGTGTATTATATAACTACTCACAAATAATTTAAG